TGATGCCCTTTTTACTTTTTAAATTCTGATATATAGTCTGTAAACAAGACTATGTTGACTATTTGAAGATTTGATAAGCTGTACTGTATTTTGATGTTTAATGCTTTCCTTACAACTGTGAACATGCTGAGTGCTATCTACAAAATATAGGTCAGTCTGTTGAGTAATAGGATACTTAAAGAGTGTGCCCATTTTCTCTAACGTATGCTCATGCATCTACTCTCAAACACTATATGTCTTGTAATACATAAATGTATTTACCATGACTGAGATGTAATTAATAGCAAGAAGAAGATCTTGAATAAAGTGAAAAGATACATATTTATATGTATCTCCTGTTGCCCATAGTCTTTTAGAGAATGATTTTCATCTTGAAACAGAGGAGTGGTCAGGAGTTGAGAATGTGTGAACGTCTAGGTTTTTAAACTACTCTTGTCTTCAGTAATCTTTATTAATTGCTGAAATGTTTGTCTCTATTAAATAATATTAAATTATCTAGTCTTATTGAAATCATTAAGAAAATTACATGGATGTTAGGTTACTTGTTATTTTCCTTTCCTTCAGTTTATCCCCACTGAAGGAGAATATTATATATATATATATATATTTTTTTTTTTTTATTAGGGACAAAGAAGACAGTGAGGAGAGTCAAAGCATTTATCACTAGCAGAGTTTTTATTTTACAGCTGAGAAAACAAATATGGAAAGGTGAAATATTTCATGAGTAAAAAGTAGTGATGCTTAGGATTTTCTTTCTTTTTTGAGGACAAATACCTTTGGTTCAGGGTCAGAAGAACCAGATACTGTTTTAAGCCTCTCCACAAGATACTCTATAGTATCATCTTTTTTACCTTACCTGCTAACATTTGGGTAAATAGTGGTAAAATTAAAGGCCAATTCTATGGAAGATGGTGACTAAACATTTCTACAGTGTTATGTAATAATGTTATAGTTTTCTTTAATCCAAAATATGCACACATCCATGTGAACCACACTGTACAATCCCATTCTGTTTTCAGGTGGCTTTTAGGTGACCTTTCCAGATGCTTGCTTTCTTTGAAGGAAGTTTTTGTTGTTGTGTTATTGTAAAGCATAGCCTACATTTTATTACCAGTTCTTTTGTTTTCTGAAGGATAAGAAATTTAATACAAAGAGATTATATTAAGTAAAATTTTTATTTGAAATCCTTAAGTCATCCACACATTTTTCTTAAAGGTTTTTATAAACATCTTTAACCAGTCTAGCTTTTCCAGGTAGAATTAACAGTAACAAGTTATTTGATTGTAATCACAGTCTGAATAATTTAAGTAAGTTGAAATTAGTTGACAAGTAATTGTTATTCACAAATGAAAACGTTGGTTGTCCTGTAGTAATCAATGCATAGCTACAGCTGGTTGAAGGGGACCAAATCCATTGAAGAGGCGATTTGGTTCCATTTTACCAGCTCTAGCAAAGCATTGTAGTGCTGCTAGTTTGGGATCCAAAACAGTTAAATGCTTTTCATTGGTAAAATTACAATCATGGACCTTCTGCAAGTGTTAGAAATTATCATACCACTGCTTCAGTCACTAAATGCCAAATTTTCCATTCTGAAGTCACTTTCCTACTCTTTCCTGCACTTAATGGTTTAAAAGTTTTAATGGTTTAAAAGTCTTTTCCTTTTAACACATTACTGCATTAAGGAATGATCAATGTACATCTTTATTTTCAACATCTTTGCTTCATTCTTTTCATTTTTCTAATCGTGTCCACAGCTGAAGTCTTTGGTTAATTCTTAAATGTAGACAATAAGCTGTTTCAAAACCAATAGTATTTAAAGGAACAAATAGACCTTGATGTATTTTAGTGTAATGTTTTCCATTTATCGCTAGGCAGTAAACTAGATTACTTAAGTAGTTAATCTAATAGGTTAGGGAAGAGTTCTGTTAGTCACTCCCTTCTTAGCATTATAATTGAGGACTAATAGCAAATTGTTGACAGTGGGTAGATCAGTGGCCTTAAGCAAGTACCTCTGCCTTTTGATTTATAAATAGATCACATGTGTATTCAGTGTAATGCTTGGACTTGTGTTGAAAGGAACTACCATGCATGCCAGTTTTTCTTTGTTTTTGCTTACGTAGTGTTACTAATCATAGGTTAGTAATTTAACCCTTTTAAAGGTCTATTTCCTTGACTAAGTTCTTTGTCATTTTGGGTACAGATTGCCTAGTTACTTCTCATTATCGACTTAGTGATACACTGACTTATGGTGGTTAGTTGCAATCCATGAATACAAGTATTAAAATCTATTGTGTGAATAATACTTGAAAAATCAGAGTAAATTTTTGTTATAATGTGGTTTTACTATTGATTTTAATATCCTGGGAGGTGTGCTTTCTGAAACATACTTGCATAAAATAAAAGTTTAATAAATTATAATTTGTCTATAAAGTTAAGTGCTCTCAGAAAAATAGAGAAGTATTCTTTATAGTTACTGTTTTAAACTAAACTGGGAAGTCAACACTAATTCAGGCAATATGCAAATGATTCTTATATTAAGTATATTTTGCATCTGTTGGTTAAGTGTCATGCTGCTGGTGAAATTAATGTAACTGCAATTCTTTTTCATCATTTATTCTAGTAGAAGTGAAACAGGTGTTAAACTGCTTGAACTTAAGTGCTGAAGATAGCAATAACACTGGCTTCTATTTTTACAAGTTATATGGGAGCTGTTTAGCAGATCCAGTTGCTCAAGTGTGCTTTTGGATGGCAGTTCAGTTTCATATACTGGCCATATCGGGGCAAGGAGAGGCCATGGGAAAAAAATAGTACAACATTTGATAATGTCAGCATCTGTTATCCCTGTCAGGGAGACAGTTGAAATGTTTGAGTTATACCAGTGTCAGCAGATGCCCAGAGTTTAATATGTACTCAGTTAAAAATGAACAGCTGATCTAAGTGATAGATGTGACATTTTAGAGTGATTGAAAATACTCTTAGATATGTTAAGTTAAATTTGTAAGCACCAGAATCAGTATATAATTTTACTTTTGAAAATGAAAGCCTGTCATTTTATTTTCTAAGGATTATTTATATAGTCTTAAAATTATAGCAAAGAGATTCTTAGTTGCTGGGATGGTTAAGAAGGATTATTAAACAACTTGTATACCTATAGAATGACCAATATAATTGTTTATTATAAAACACAAGTAGAGTAATAGCCTTTGAGTAGTTTTATAGAAGAGCCTCTACTTTTGAGGTATATATTTTGAGTTCTCGGTATTTAGGACCTATACAGGTAAACTTCCTAAATTGAACATGAATCATGGCCATTCTGTTTTGTGGATGATCAGAAGGGCTATGTTTATGTGAATTAAGCTTTGAACTAATTTCTTTGAAAATACAGAATTTAAAATTAGGTGTCTTTTATAATTTCCAGTAAAAATGAAGTAACATATATTATGCCATGTGTAAGAGTCATTATCATCTTTATAATCTGCTGATAAAAAGAAAATCATCTTTCTGTTAACTAGTTGTCTTATTAAACAGAGAGAAAATGAACTATAGTTAAATGTATAGTCATTTCTATTCAATTTCTGATACAAAAAATTTAAAATATGCTTTTTATACATGTGCAGATATTTCAGTTGAAATAATATGTTTACTAAGAAATGGTTAGAATACATGATTACTATTTTTTTTTTTTTTAACTTTGTCATTAGTAGCTTAAAACAAGTACTGCTTATAAATTTTGCCAACAGCATTATTTGGAATTTTAAAATAAATAATATACAAACTATGTGAAATTAAAGTATTTTGATGTTTCTAACATAAACAATGGATTGATCATGTTTAGAGGAACTGAATTGTAATTACATAGTACTAATAAAAACAGTTATTCTATCTGTATAAATTGGTTCTTGACTATAGTGCTTTCACTTTACATGCCCCCTTTGGAGAAGCCAATTCAAAGAAATTACAGATAATAAGTTAATTTCTTTTAAATATTTCGTAGTCTCTTACCAATATACCCTGCTGACTTACAGCTGTGGCCCAGAATTTTATCATTTTTCCTCCTTAAATCTTACATTTTAATTAATTTTAAGTTTTAACTTCACATTTAAAGTAGAGATGGGGTTAAGACCCTGATGAACTTGAGAAGGACAAGGGCCACTTTTTTTTTTGTGACAGTAGAGTCGTACTTAAAAGATAGTCTTTAAGAATTATAACTATGATTGTAGCTGTCAAAAAAGAAAACCTTTTTAAAACAACAAAACTTTTCAGTTCAGAAATTCCTCTAATATTAATGGATTATACATTTATTAAAATGTGAAGAAATAGCTTATTATGTGAATGAAGCCAGCTCTTACTATCTTATTTTTCTATACAAATAAGTGAGCCCCACTAAGATCAAATTGTGGAGACAGAAAATAGGTCATATGTATTCCTCATTCTTTTGTGCTAGTAATACTGTTGTCTCTTTTGTAGTCAAATTTTAATAATGAGAGTACTTAATGTAAGATATATGTTTTAAACTTAAATGATTTAAAAGGAATTTCATGATAATTGAAATCTGCTTCACTGGAACTTCTTTTCCTTCATGAAATAAAAACCTTAGGGATATTTAGTTTCTATCTATAAGTAGCAGATAGCCTTTTTTTTTTTTTTTTTTTTTTTTTTTTTTTTTTTTTTTTTTTTTTTTTTTTTTTTTTTTTTTTTTTTTTTGGTGTTAATATTGCCAAAGGTCATCTGTTCATGACTAGTTAATTTACCTTATGAAGGTCATTTACGTGGAAAGAAGCAAGAGCTTCTTTTAGCTGCAGTTTAATTCTCTCTTGGTGGTTTATTGCCTACCAAAAATACATACTTCTTTACATTCCATAGCATTGTATGTTCATATGGGTACATAAAGAAGTATGTACTCTGAGTAGGTATTACTAGGTTGTTAGCTGTAAAAACATGAAATATTTTATTTTCTTGTTAGCAAAACATTCAGCTTACTAATGTAGAGCAATGGTAAATCATTTGCAGAGACTAATTTATTGAAGAGTAAACTTTGTAACAAATTTACCTGAAGCATGGCATTAATGGTTCCATATTCTTGGTGGACATAGACATTCCTAAACATTTGACCAGTTATCTGTTGAACTTTGTCCTGGTTTGATTCTTTTTGCAACAGATTCATAGAATTAGTGTAGTGTTACAGAGTGTATTTCAGAAACTTAAAATCAGCCTATTGTTTCTTCAGTCTTCAGAGTGAATTTCTTCTTTTTTTGTAGTCTGCTTCTAGATCCTACAGGTAGATAGTAATTAATTAAGTTCAAATTCTTTTTTACAAACTAGGTATCTTACTCAAAACTTAAGGAATTAACCAATAAATATTTCTGATATTGACTCCAAAGTTGAAACAAGGAGAAAAACCAGGATGAGTGTGAGTGAATTGAACTTTTAAAGATTATGAATTTTTGTTAGTGTTTCATAAGGTCACAGATAAGAACTCATGATCATTTGAAAATCTGTCATCCTTTTTTCTTTATTAGTTCCTTACCTGAATTTTGCACTTTGGTGCTTCTCTTTGGGTTAAATACAAATATGGTTTGAATACAAATTCAAATAGATGTAGAAATATCTAATTTTGGTGAGTTTAAGTTGTTTTGATTCTTTAATCCTTTTAGTATACAGGATGATTGTCGGAATCATCAACTTTTAGAAAGTATCACTTCAAAGAACTGAAAGGTTTTAGTCCATGAGCACCTGGGTTTTACCTTGATCATTTAGCATGAAAAGAAAATACAGTTGGTAAGAAGGCTTCAGTTATTATGGTATTAGAAGGTTAATTTAAAAGAAAACCTCAAGAAATTTTCAGTTTGGCAAAGGAGAAAACAAAGGGGAAGGATGATAGTAGAATTTCTGCAGCTTGTGACAAAAAGCTAGTGCAGCTTATAGAGAGCAAATCAGAATGTAGCAGTAGATAGCCCAGCATTACAGCAGCTTCAGCAATGCAGCATTAGAATTACACCATGCACATTCTGATTTATTTTTGTGGCCAATTAATAGTAAGCATTAAAAAGTATTTTATGATCTGCCAGGTTTCTTGGGTGACTAAACCTTGAAATAGAAGCTAATAGTTTTAAAAAGTAAGTATACTTTGGAAGCAGGATGTGACTTACTAGAGGTTCAAAATTATCACTTAATCTGAAACAATAACGACTAAATCTTTAATAATGTAAATGACAATAATGAATTTGTACATTTTTAGATCAAAAGTTACTGCCATGATATTTGAACAATATTCATTTTTACACTACATTAGCTCTCAACTTGATTTGTGAAATTAGGCTATGCTTAGATAGAATTTAACTTAACAATGATGAGAACATATATTGAGTCAATAATAGGTAAGCATGCAGAAAGTCATAAGCATCCTTAAAAGTACAGGCCTTGTGGGGCTCTGTTACCTGAAAGCTTAGTGTCATGCAGCATTTGCAGCAGGAAGAAAGGTAATGACCTAGAGAGTCACATCAGCAGCAGCCATCTCATCTTGATTGTTCGTTCACTCTATTCGCTGATTCAGCAATTTCTTTTCATGAGCCCGGTGAAGGAAGGGGATTTGTCAGTGAACACAGAACCTCACCTTTTAAGATAAATTTGAAAAACAAACAAGCAAACAAAAAACAAGCCTACTTTTCCCTCTCCCCCCCTTTTCACATTAAAAAAAAAAAAAAAAAAAAAAACACCACCACCAGCAAAAAAAACTCTGCAATTAAATTGAATCAGCATTGGCCTTTTGATTTAGAATGTCATATAAAACTCTTGCACAGATATGAGGGAAAGTTAAGCAATTTTAAAAGGCTGCTACAAAGGCAAAGAAAAGGAACCTAGTTGTCAGATGAAATGCTTCAGAAGAGGGGACAAAGTTGCAGAAGTTAATTTTATAATCTAAAAAAAGACCAAAAAAAAAAAAAAAAAAAAAAAAAAAAAAAAAAAAAAAAAAAAAAACCAGCAAAAACCCCAGAACCCAAACACACCTTACTCCCTCCCCAAGTAACTGTAAACATTCACCCTGTTTTTCTTTGCCCACCAGAATACATTGGGTTCTTCTGACTTCTTAGGAAATAGTCTGCATCTTTCTTGCTTTGAGATTTTTTTTTTTTGGTTTTTAGTTTCCAGGATCAAATGGTAGATCTGTAGTGAAGCTACCTTGTCACATCCAGAGGTCAAGTCTGCAATCGAGGTCAGGACTTCCACATGGTCACTACAAGGCTAACTTATATTCTTCCTCAGTGACCACAGGCTAAACTGTTACAGCTTTATAGGCAGCTAAGCATTTGAAACATGCACTCCCAGGCAAACAGGCTCTCTTGTGCCTCTCTCTTCCCTGACCATATTTAGTCAACCATAGCAAAAAATAGTCTCTCAGCTGTCGATTGTCGATCCAAAAGCTGAGGAAACCTCAATCTTGCTTTCTGCCTATTGATTGTTCATCCTGCGGTCCAAACACTGCTTTGCCATTTGTCCTGCCCCCAATTTTTTTTTTTTTTTTTTTTTGGTTAAGCACTGCCAAATAAAGCGGTCTCTCATGTTTCCACTTACATTTCCCAGATTTTCACTGAGCTTGCGCTGAGACTAGGAAAGCCTGATGTGCTGTCACTATACTTAGAAGCACTGCAGAGAAAAAAGGAAAGAGGAAAAAAATTACCCTGGCTAGTAGCAAGATAATCTTTAGACAGTTAGGTACAAGTGAAGTCCCTCTACTGCCAAAATACATTTTATAACCTGATTTTTTGATTGACAAAAAATGTTATGGGTGGTGATATGTTATACAGCTAAAGGCCTGAAAGGATTTTGTAGGGTTATCTTTAGAGGTAGTTGTTGCCATATATGTGCTTTAAAAATTTGTTGAATAGTATTTGAATGGAAAATATAGAAATGGTAGGTAGGACCTGTATATTGGTAGTGAAGAGACATCATTAAGGGAGAAGAAAGATAGTAGTATGTAAATGAAATCCTGGAAGTGCTACTTAAAACAATCACTGTCAATTTCAGTAAATTTTTTTATGATGCTTTGGTAAAAAACAGGGTTCAGCATGCTTTTAAGTAATTATACAAGTAGAAGTATTCAAATGCATTTTATTATGAATTCTACTTTATATTCAAATGTGTAGTGTTTTTTCTGTCTCTTCTATATTGTCATGTTTCTGTAATTTTCTGAACTTTTAGATATGATCATTGCACACTTTACACAGATTGAAATAATCATTAATTTGTCTATAACTATATTACATAGTGTATGACTCAGAGGAAAAAATGCTTTTGTTCTAAATTTTAATAGCATATTCGAAAGAGATTTTGATATTGAAATTTTTAAATCAAATATAAAAAATAATAAAACATGAAATCCAGTAAACCTGTGGAGATATAATTTAAGATCTCACCTAAAATGCCCATGAACAACCAACTATACCTTGTTTTTAATCCAAATATGTCCCCTTAAGAATCAAGAAAAACCATTATCAGTTTTCTGAGCTTATCCACTTACAGAAGTGTGTCCTTCATGTTCTTTTTGTCTTTAGCATTTAATATCTTAGCAGTTTAATTATTTTGAACGGCTATTTTAAAACAGTGACATTAAGGAATGCTTCTTTGGATATTGGGCAGTTTTAGACAGCTTTCCTAAATATTGAAATAATTTTACTTATAAGAAGATGACATGTCTCAAAGTGTAAAATAAGTTAATTTTCAGTTTTCTCAAGTACCCGATTTTGTTAATGATTTTGTAGCAGTGAAAGTACTTGTTTTTTAAGCAAACACGTATATAATGTGTTACGTGCCAGGTATTCTTTCTAAGCCCTTTATAAATATTAACTCATTTAATTTTCATAACAGCCCTATAAAGCAGGATGTGATTCTTCTCACATTTTACAGATGAGGAAACTGAGGCACAGAAGTTATCTGCTGAAGTCACTAGCCATTATGGCTAGAGCCAGAATTTGAACTCAGATAATTTGGTTACAGACTAGGAGCTCTTCACCACTATGCCACACTGCTCCTCTCATTTGTGATAATGAAATGAGTTGGGGAGTTGTTCTCGGGGACTCGACCATGCACAAATATATATTGCTAATATCTTTGCCTCAGTATATTCGGAAAGATCATTGATTATTTGATTATCTGTTTATTCATTTCTTCCATTCAGCAAAACTTTGAGTTTCCCTGTACTAGGCATATGAAGTATACCTTTTTGATCAAAACCCGTTCAAGTTGTATAGTAACCTGCTTTTAGCATGCCCAAAAGAACTACTGGCAGTTAATCAACTTTCTTAATAAATACCTTTTTGAATTCTGGAGGAATCCACTTTATTTGAGGGATTGTTCATTAATTTAGTAAGCATTTATTAAACACATAATATCTGCTACAGTGCTATTCTAACGTTGTTTTGCTTTAAGTAATACTAATATGTAAGGCCTTCACAATTTAGCCAGTAGGGTTTGGGAAAATGTTGCCTGCCGCTGAAGAAAGATTGCAAAGCATGGCAGGCCCTAAAAATTGACCCAGTGCCATTTGAATACTACATACCAATGCAGACAGCTGCTTGTCCCCTCTACTTCTTAGAACTCATTTGTTCATCATTCAGCAAACGTTTGAGTACTATCATGTGCCAGGGATTATGCTAGGCACTGCTATTAGTTGTTCTGGAACTTAATGCTTCTTTGGCACTGTTCACAAATGCCTGCTTAACTGGTAGTAAGATCTTATCTTTAAAACATCCATGTCCTTAACCTCTTGGAAAACAACCACATTGAGCATTAGGGAAAATATCTCCAAATCTCATATACTTCGCTCCACAGGTGAGACAGTCTATTGGCTTAACAAAATTATTGAATTCTGGAGCTGGTAACACCTTTATCCCAGTAACTCTACGGACTTCAGTGCTTGCAGCTTAACAGTCTCCTCTTAATTAACTAAAGTGCTGCAGGGAACAGCCTGCAGCTAGCTGTCTTTGTAGTTTTAGTGTGTCTTCCCAAGATTTCCTGCTCCATGGAAAGAAAGGAGACAGGCTGCTCTGAACTACTGCTGTTGACATGAGAGTGAGGGGACTAGAGACTGTTTTGCTTAACTTTCCCTTAGCTCACCTTGCAGACTAGGCCCAAAGATGACCTCTTTTTTTGAGGCCCTATATTATTATTTGTTTCTGTTTTCTTGAGGGTATTGGCAATTTTTGATCAAGATGAGAGGGTTATAGGTCTCTGTTCAAATAGTTTATGAGTTACTTCACCCTCAAGGAGGTGAAGTATAACTTCCTGCTCCTTAAATATGGGCTGTACATAGTTACTTCCTTCCTAAGAGCATAGTTTAGAGACAGGGAGAAAAGAATGTTTACGTCGGAGAAACATAATGAACACTACTTCAGCCAGGTGATCAGAGTTAACTTGTAGAGTCATATGGCATGTTGATAGTATGTACCCTTGGTGTGATGTCATTAAATGGCACTTTATCTCTGTGGCCTTCTTCCCAAGAACCCCATAGCACAGTGTAATCATGAGAAGAGCATCAGACAAATTCCAACGGAGGAATATTCTACAAAATAACCCATTAGTACTCTTCAAAACTATCAGACTTATCAAAAACAAGGAAAGTCTGGGAAACTGTCACAATCCAAGGGAGCTAAGGAGAAAAAACAACTAAATGTAATGTGGTATTCTGGAGCAGAGAAAGAACACTGAATAAAACTAAGGAAATCTCAATGAAGTATGGACTTTGGTTGAAAACAATGCTTCAACATTGGTTTATTAATTGTAACAAATGTACTATACAATGTAAAATGTTAATAATAAGGATGAGGGGTATATGGGAACTCTGTGCTAGCTTTGCAATATTCTATAAATCTAACATTGCTCTAAGATAAAAAGATTATGTAAAAAAAAATTAATCTACCCACTCCTGGCTAGTTGACCCTTGCGTTAGTTTTGATTTGGGCTATCTACAGTGTTTCTCCACAGCTTAGTAAATCAAGTTGATTTTGCTGTAATTGATTTCAAGAAAATATTAGGTGTTGTCTCATGTTCTTTTAAAAACGTGTATTAAAGGCAGGGAAGTATATTTTGCAATAAGCTTTTGATCAAATTTTTAAAAGATTTACTTAAAAAGAATTTGTAAAAATTGAGAAATGGTCAGATTTGTGCTGCATGGTATAGAGAATAGATGTGGAAGGGAGACTGTTACAAATGTCCTGAGGAAAGAGAATCACAGCCTAGTTAAAGAATGTTGGGGGCCACTGGGAAGAACAGTTTTAGTTTAAGGGAGAATCAGCAGGACAAATTGAATGTGGACCTAATAGGGGAAAGCGTCTAGAATGATTCCTTGGTTTCTGAGTAGAATGGCTGATTAAATGGTAACAAGGGTAACCAGGATCAAGAATAAAGGAGGAGTATTGGGAAAGAGGAGAGAGGCAAAGAGGAATTTGTACTATGTTTGAGTATAGGTCTGTAATCTTAGAGTTGTCATAATACTATTATATTGAAGAGTTTGAGACCCTATACTGAAACATTTTTACATACATTGTATCATTTAATTTTTACAACAGCCTTAAAGAGAGAGAGAGAGAGAGAGAGAGAGAGAGAGAGAGAGAGAGTGTGTGTGTGTGTGTGTGTGTGTGTATGTGTGTATATGTGTATTTTGAGACAGAGTCTCACTCTGTCCCCTAGACTGGAGTGTAGTGGTGCAATCTTGGCTCACTGCTAACTTTTGCCTCCCAGGGTTCAAGTGATTCTCCTGCTTCAGCCTCCCAAGTAGCTGAGATTACAGGCATACACCACCATGCCTGGCTAATCTTTGAATTTTTATAGAGATGGGTTTCACCATCTTGGCCAGGCTGGTCTCGAACTCCTGGTCTCAAGTGATCCACCCGCCTCAGCCTCCCAAAGTGCCACCTGCCTTGGCTTCCCAAAGTTTCATGTTATGGGATTATAGGTGTGCGCCACCACGCCTGGCGCTTATAGGTATTGTAAGAGATTCCTATATCAATTTTGATATTAGGTATGAATCATGATCATTTGTTATAGAGATATGAGCTAGAGATGTTATAGTTGAGAATGCATAGTGAGGGCTTTACAGGGTCCAGGTTTGGGCATTAACTTTATAGATCCAGAAGTAATTGGACTTGGGATAACATTATTTAAGCTTGTAAGAGATTGATATGTAAGTCAGAATGTCAAATTACTATTTACAGAAGGAAATATTGCTAAGTATAGTTCTCAAAATAGCTAATCAGTAGCTTTTTTTTTCACTTGCTGAGGGAGAAAACAAATCTACTCTGAAAAGTTAAAACTAAAATTGGAAATTGACTGGTGAGCAGGACATTTGATTGAATGATCTTAACAGTGTCATTAACCTGTGATGATATTCCATGTGATGATA